ATTGAAAACGTCAAGCATTTGTTTGTGTGAGCATCTTAGACCGCTTTGTCCAATTACAAAAACGTGGACTGTTCAAATTAACCGACGGAACCTCTGACTATCAAAATATCCCAATTTTAGCATGTTTCGACCCATGTGCCGGCAGATGGATAAGAGTCGGTTATATTAAAGTACTTGTGGGATCCGTCTAATCAAAATTGGAACCTTTAAACTAAAGCTTTAAATTGTTTTGTTGGCACGGGAGCATTAAGTGGTCTTGTTGTTTCGCTTAAAATCTCTTGGTGGTAGTCAGGTCATATATAACCATGGGTGACTCACCTAGCTAGGGAGGAAATCAAAACTCAAGGAACACTTTGGATTTGGATTGGTTTATGTCCGGCCATGTGACCGTTGACACTTCTGTGTGCTGTAGAAAATACATCAAGCAAAGTTTTCGATACAAATATTGCGTTTGTGATCAGTGTCTCCAAACCAAGCCAGCTACTGAAACCTTCTCACGGTTACATTGGGAGAAGAGATCCGCATACCTCTGAGGTGAAAACAGAAACTCAAGTGTAGGAGCAGCCGGTCTTGGCTGCCTCCACCTCATCCCATCCTTTTTTGAGTCGTCACAATGGGACACTGGACCCTCGTTTTTGAACCACTGTCAAGAGACAACATCTTTGTGGATTTAAACAGTGAAGTTGTGATGTGGTCATAGACTTTCAATGGTTTTTTTTTATTTTTTATAGTAGTCAATACTTTGCTGTGAGGACTCGCCTTTTTTCAGAATTATGGAATTAATATCAGTGTGCTGGATTTGTTTTATTAATTATCACTGCCAGATTTTTCAGTATTGTGCTCTCATAATAGAAAACAAAAATAAATAAAATGTTTTGGACTGACTTATTTATCATCAGGCTCTGCAGTGAACTTTTCCGTGAGCAGTAACAACAACCAAATAATCATTTTTTAAAAATAATCAGATTTGTCACTACATAGGAAAGTACCACTTAAATTAAAAAGATAGATGGTTGTTTCTCACTGCTACCCAGCTTCAGTTATTTGCGTCGTATCGGCTTTATAAATAATACCCTGATACTCAGCAGATCACTATACAGTGAGTGTGTTGTTGTCTGCTGTGTGTGTTCAGCAGCCCACATTCATCAACCCAATTTGTGGGAGTTGTGGAAGTGAAATTTAGCCACAGTCGGGTAAAGATTCTATAAACCTTCACAGCTGTGGCTCAGCAGATGAATTCAAATGGCTCCTTGGGCTGTTTTTTCACAGCAGTTTCAGTTTTGTGTATCAGCCACCAGTCTTTGGCCGAAAAAATGTAAATTTTTTAAATTTCCAAAATCCAAATATCTGGTCAATTTGATTATGACATTTTTGTTTATTTGTTTTTAATGTACTCATTCTGACTTTGGGTTTTGCTCTGTTTTCTTTGCAGTCAGGCTGAAGGTTTCAAAGAGAAAGGAAATGCATACTACAGCAAGAAAGATTACTCCGAAGCTTTCAACTATTACACGAAGGCCATTGGTGAGATTACTGTTAATCTCAAACGGGGATTAAGTTTTCCACATGGTTTTGAGTGGTCGTAACGGCTCATACGCCACCCGAACCATCCTGCTGAGAAATTTTTATATTTGTCATCACATTAAGATAAACGGTGGAGTCATCCTGCCTTCTCTTCTGTCTTTTGTTCAAATGTTTTTTTTTAATCATCTTTAAAGATGCATGCCCCAGGAATGCCAGTTACTACGGCAACAGGGCAGCTACCCTCATGATGCTCAGTCGCTTCAGAGAAGCCCTAGAAGATTCCCAGCAGGCTGTGCGTCTGGATGACTATTTCATGAAGGTCAGCTTGTACAGATGTTTACATCTGCAGCATCAGTCTTTGTCTGCTTGGTGATTTTAGAGAGTTCTTAAACATGCGCATCCCTTCTATAATCATAGGGGCATCTACGCGAGGGCAAGTGCCACTTGTCTTTGGGAAATGGCATGGCTGCTAGTCGCTGCTTTCAGAAGGTTCTGGAGCTGGAACCCGGCAATAGAGAGGCCCAGCAGGAGGTGGGAACCATTCCTATTGAGTAGTTTTTATGAAAGGAGCGTTTGATTTGAGCAAAAAAATCTATGAATATTATTTATTCTGAAGCTCTGTTTGTGTAATTGCTGACATGAATCCAGGCATTCACATTTGGAGGAATTGCATTCATATTCAGATTTTGATTTGTTGTAGAAAAAGAATGCGGCAACACTTCTGGAGTACGAGCGGATGGCTGAATACGGCTTTGAAAAGCGGGATTTCCGAAAGGTAATCTGGTCACATCATTTTAAAAGTTTGGCTGCTTCTTTGGTTTATTATGAGCACAGGAATCAAGAGATTCAGCAGCCTGCTTTATTTTTTGTATAAATCGTGCCAATGTAGTTTAAAGAATTTGTTTGGCAGTCAGCATCTTCAGTTTTAAATCTAAATACCCGTCTGACTGGAAAGACAGCTTTGATAACTCTGAAAATGTGACATTTCCGGGCAGTTCCAAATATTTGTGAAGGTTTCTCAGTGTGTGCATCTGATGATGTGGTGTGACCGTACAGTGAGTGTTGTATTTGGTAATCCTGATCCAGGTCGTGTACTGTATGGACCGGGCCTTGGGCTTGGCTTCAGCCTGTCACCGCTTCAAAATCCTGAAGGCAGAGTGTCTCGCCCTGCTGGGCCGCTATCCAGAGGCCCAGTCGGTGGCCAGGTAGGAAGCAGACCAGCTCTTAGATTTGTATAACAGATGATGGCAGGATTCGATGTAACACTTTTGGAAAAGCTGACCGTTTAAAAACTTAATTTGTTCACAGTGACATCTTGCGAATGGACTCCACTAATGCTGACGCACTTTATGTTCGAGGCCTGTGTCTTTACTATGAGGACTGCATTGATAAGGCGGTGCAGTTCTTCATCCAGGCCCTGCGCATGGCACCGGACCACGAAAAGGCCCGGCTAGCCTGCAGGGTAAGCCTTTTACAGCTAATGTTCATTTTGACTTTTTTTTGTCTTGAATTCCTCAATGTTCTCGTTGTAAAGTCTGATTGGACATTTCTGGCTATATTGGATTGTGTGTGACGTAAGGATTTTTTTTTCTCCTCTTAAAACAGAATGCCAAAGCTTTAAAAGCCAAGAAGGAAGAGGGCAACCAGGCCTTCAAGAACTGCAACTATGAAGCTGCCTATCATCTGTATACTGCAGCGCTGGCCATAGATCCCAACAACATCAAGACCAACGCTAAACTCTACTGCAACAGAGCCACGGCGGGGGCAAAGGTCAGAGGCCACGAGCCGAAGCGGCTCAGTCAGACCTTCACAACTGTCTAAGTAGCACCCTTTGTCACTTTCTGTGTTGTTGACTGTTTGAAATCTCTGACAGCTGAAGAAACTTAATCAAGCCATTGAAGACTGTACCAGCGCGATCAAACTAGACGACACTTACATCAAAGCCTACCTGAGAAGAGCTCAGTGGTATGCCATGCAGACACTTGGAATGACTTACTACTATGTGTAGCGTTGTGCAGCTTTCTCAGCAGCTCTCTGTCCCCCCGTAGCTACACGGACACAGAGCAGTATGAAGAGGCCGTACGTGACTATGAAAAGGTCTACCAGACAGAGAAAACTTCAGGTAACATGCCGACCTGTTTTTTTTAGGGTTGAGTGACACGTGCAGGGCTCCACACGCTCACATGCTTTTGCCCTCCAGATCACAAGCATCTGCTGAAGACCGCGCAGATGGCGCTGAAGAAAAGCAAAAGGAAAGATTACTACAAGGTGCTGGGCATTGGCAAGAACGCCACAGAGGACGAGATAAAAAAAGCCTACCGCAAACGGGCCCTCATGCACCACCCAGGTATCCAGACTGGCCTTTAAAGCACTCTAGGAAGCCATCTCATTAATTCACCTCAAATTACTAATATACTAAATCCACAGATCGGCACAGTGCGGCAACTCCAGAGGTGCAAAAGGAGGAGGAAAAGAAGTTCAAGGAGGTGGGCGAGGCCTTCACCGTCCTCTCAGACCCAAAGAAGAAGTTCCGCTATGACAGTGGGCACGACCTGGAGGATGACGGCTGCTTTGATGGTGGAGGTGAATACCCTTTTTAGGCCTTGTGTTTACTCTTTGCGCTCAGCTGGTTTTCACCTCGTTTTAAAAAAGTGCCATTTTCATTCGAGGAAAGCCAGCTAACGATGCTGAAACCTTGACAAACAAATGCATGGAGCCAGTTTAAATCAATAGTTACACTGTAAAATGGTTTTTCAAAGCCCAGAAAAGGAGTGACCTAGATATTTTTTTTATCTAACTCCCATTATGGTTAAGGTTTCTGTCATTTTTAAAGATTTTAAATGGTCATAATAGGAACTTTGTAAAAATGACAAAAACAGGTTAAGTGAATTTCACATAGCTCCTTCACTCTCACAGTCCTTGTCTGAGCTGGTGTGGGTCTGGTTTCACAAAAAACTCAAGACTCATGTTATGGGTAACATCTGAGTTTACCTTTGAATGGACAGTCTTCCAACCTTTCCACAGTCATTTCTGCCCCTAGAGGGCGCCACAAATCAATATTTCACATAGAAGTAAAGCAGGTGCAAAGAGGAAGGTTACAAATTCTAAAATGATCACATTTGTCCAGTTTGGAAAAACTGCACACTGACTCATGTATCACATCTGTTTTTGGTTC